GGTTAAAAAGTACCTCTTTAAAAATTCTTGAACAATACGACGCCTGGCATGAAGAAATAATATCCTTCATAGATCCACGTGACATCGGTCACATGCGTGGTAAGGAAGTTACGCATCAAATGCTTGTACGTGTCCATTTTGAAATAGAAGAAAAAGAAGAAGAGATGCTGCCCGTCGAATCGACGATGGCTGTCTGCAACTGTCCAACTAATTCACTGACTTCCACAAGCGCGCTCGTGACTTAACATGCCAATGCGGCTTGCGCAGGTCCTGGTGCAATGTTGGCAACGAAATTCTCCCGAGTCTGCGACAGTGGAGGCGTTCCTGGTAGCGTGACGTCTTGATCGTTTAACAGCGTTGCTCCGCCGCCTCAAATCATCCATCTTGTTGAGACCATTGCGTGACTTGTCTCTCCAGTCGCATCGATCCGCCGCTTCGAGCTGCCAATTATCTATTGAAATTTGACATGTTTTCAAAGTGTATTTGTGAGAGTCTTTACAACGCAGGAGCGGACGACCAGTACGTCTCTTTCCTTCAGCGAGCTCTCCAAAGAGTAGCTGTTTGGGTAATCGATTGTTTGCCATGCGAGCAACATGACCAGCCCACCTTAGCTGCATTTTGGCGAGGGTAGTCTCAATGTCCATGGAGATGACAAAAAAAGGATGAGGAAAAACGATCAAGAAGAAGAAATGACGTAATTTTGAATGAGATTTTGACAGTCGACGAATACAAGTCTGCATTGACAGTATGGGTAAAGCATGAGCAAATTCTATTACGGAAAAGGTGAAAATTCAACAATTTCCACGCCTCGTTAAAGCTGTTCGAAGGCAAGGACGACATGTGGAGATTAAAGGGACGGTTTGCAAACCCTACTCTTAAACAGGAAGAGATGCCTCCCATTATCCTCCGACGTACGGACAGTTATTTTACTAAATTTATAGTTTGGTACGCACATTAGGCGGTAATGCATCACGGTGTTGGGTCTACATTGGGAATGTTGCGCGCAAGATACCGGTTAGTAAAAGGGAGGAGAAGTGTAAAGGTGGTTTTCACGTATCGAAAATTTTGATCGAACGGAAAATTTTCTCGCAAAATTTCTTGTGCATACTAAACTTATAATTTCCACATGAGATTCAAGAGCGCGAAAATTAATATGGCCGCTGTAAACAAGCGACACTTTTTGACACTAAAACTATTAATGCTTATGAGATTATGCTTACGATTACATAACAATAAATGCGAAAAGAGATTCTGCGTTAGGAAAATCTACCAAGAAAGAAATGAGAAGGGGAGAATTCCACCTGTCGGAAATTATGTAAATAAATTATGATTGTTATTTGAGACTAGGAACTTATCGTTAAGGCGGAAAAAGGAACTTATGATTATTGAGTATTTTAGAAGGGTGAAATTAAGACGGCATTGTCTTCTGTTGATGCCTGTGAACGAATAAGGAGCGTGAATTGGAATGGATGTATAACTTTGACCAGAAAATTAAATAGATGACATTTGAGAATTGTGTTTGACTGCTCGCTAGCTTTAGATAGTATACAGTCCCGGCGGACGCATAACTGCTTTGTGCTAACGTGCAAAGGAGAAATTTGCTACACCACCTATTAGCTCGGAAAATGATGCTTTAAGACCATGAGTATTTCATCAAGCGTTTCAGAATGACTCCTTCCACGTTTAAGAGGATCCTGGCATGGATGGCACCAAATCTTGCAAAACAAACACTCCAATGCGCACTGCTATACCTCCTGATGAACGCTTAGCATTATCATTGACATATCTAACTACTGAGGATGCTCAAGTTACTATTGGATCAAGCTACTGCATAAGTCCAACTGCTACAAGAAGAATCATTCGTGAAGCTTTTGAAGTAATATGGAATGCTCTGAAAACCAGGAGTTATCTAAATTTCCTATCAACTGAACAGGAGTGAAAGAAGGTATCAGAAGATTTTAACAGTTGTTGGAATTTCCCACACGCCTTTGAAGCAATTCAAGGGAAACACATTGTTATTCAAGTCCCACCAAGATCAGGCTCGGAATTTTTTAATTATAAAAGACACACAGCATCGTTTTAATGGATGTTTGTGGTGCACTTTACCGGTTTACGTTGGTGGATGTTGGTGATTGTGGACAACAATCCAATGGTAGTGTATAAGGAATAGCTGTCTTGGCTATGCTATTGAAAATGACGTATCGAAATTACCTAGCACTGAAAAAGTCACAAGTACTCTCCTAGTTTGCCGTATGTATTCGTGGGAGATGATGCATTCGGATTAGAAGCATTCATGGTGAAGCGATACCCTGGTTCAACACATGATATTGCTCAGAGGGTCTTCAACTATTGATTGTCAAGAGCACGGCGGACAATTGAAAACACTTTTGGCATTTTGGCCTCACGTTTTCGTGTTTTCAGACGGCCAATAAATTGTCAAATTGCACAGTTCATAAAAATAACAAAAGCGGCTGTTGCTCTGCACAACTTTCTAATTTCAAATAAATCCCCCACAGATCTTTGCAGCTATTGCCCACCTAACTTAGTTGATCGTGAAAGTTTGAATGGGTTTGTTCAAAGAGAATTGAGACTAGAGATATGCGCTTAAATGGTTGGTATTGGAAGTATCTCATCAAAAAATTACTCACTAGATGCAAAAACTGTTAGAGAAAATTTCTATAAAGTATTTCATCAATTCTTGACTTAGCTATAATATAAAACAAATTCCGAAGAAGCAAGACAACTTGAGATTGCAAAATATGAATCAAAACAAGACGAGAAGTAAACTGTAAATTTTCGACTTTATTTCAAAGTCATCCTCAGACAGAATAAGATGTCATCCTTTCTGTCTGAGAAAGTCATCCTTTCTGTCTGAGGATGACTTTGAAATAAAGTCGAAAATTTACAGTTTACTTCTCGTCTTGTTTTGATTCATATTTTGCAATCTCAAGATGTCTTGCTTCTTCGGAATTTGTTTTATATTAAACTTCTTTAAATTGTCGGCTGGTCATGGTTTTTGACTTAGCTAGTCTTTTCTTCTTTTGCAATATTGTTATGAAGCTTCTACAAAGGAAAACAGTCTTCATCAGCATCTTTTGTAAACCTTTATCCCCTCTTTCTTTGCACTTCGTTAAGGGTTGGGAACAACATTGTGTCAGCAGCATTAGCTAGCACTGATTGATTTCTTTTAAATCTGCTAATTTTATGATTGCCTTACTGTGATGCTTTCACTTTTTCTATGTTTTGAAAGATTTAATTTCAATGTTTCTTACAGCCGGCGAGAAACAACCTTTCTGATGAATGCACGACTGAGTTTTTCTTGTAGGAGTAGCGAAGTTAGACTCCTCAACACGCGAACTTTCTTCAAAATTTGAATCCCAATTGCAGGCAATAGGGACATTACTTTTGTTGGTTTGTTTAAAGTTTTGTCAGTCAAAAAAAGGCAGTTATATGTGGCAGTGCACTTGACCTTGTCGCTTTCTTCTGTCTGTCAAAGCTTTTTCGTAAGTTTTCCTTCAGCTTCTTGAATTCTTGTTTCAAAAATTCTACTATGTAAAAATATCTTGTAGTAAAATGAATAAATGTATGTCATACTTTTACCACATTTACAATTCTAAGGCAGATAATGTACTTTCACAAAATTTTAGCTCTTTTTTAATGCAACGCTTTATAAATAAACAAACAGCCAAGGAAGTAAAAACTGGACAAATAAAAATTAAAATCTGATCAGCAAAGTCTGTTAGCATTGATACCATCTTTGTTAAAAATCTTGCCAAGATTATGCCAAGCATTTATTTACAGTTTTTTTCTATGAAGTCAGACAGGTATTCCAAAGACATTTATACTTCTTCAGCTCTTCAATAATGACTTCAATGTCAAAACTTTCACAATTTGAGTTAATTCTTCAGCGAGTACAGTATTTTGGATGGGCAAATGATCGTCATGGTATATTTCCGTCTCTGCATTTCGCTATGTTTTTTTCATACAATGTACATTTTTGAGATAAGCGAACTCTTCAACTACACTTGGAGTTCCTCATTTCCCCAAACGAAAAACTTTCGAAAATATTTTGAGCAATGAGCATGCGCAAATCTAGTCATTTCCCGAAAATTTTCTGTTTGATCGAAAATTTTCGCCTTGTGGAAAACCGCCTTAAAAGAGATTATACCAAAGTGCGTTGTGTGCGAGAGATACGAAGAAAAACCGTTACGTAATTCAGAGACTCCTGATTTACCAGAATATAAAGCAAATCATTTGGGTTTGCTTTTGAAGCAACAGGACTAGAGTATGCGGGACCACTATACGTGATGACCAACGAAGGATCTGACAAATATATTATTATTGACCTGCGCTTCAAGTCGCACCATTCACTTGGAGGTTACTACGGAAATGTCAGTTGATGGATTTGTACAACGATTTAAGCGGCTTATCGCTCGACGTTAAGTCCCCAGGGTTTTAATTACTGACAACTTCAAGACGTCCAAAGAAGTAAAGCGTTTCATGGTGCCTCATGGTATAAGACAACAATTTATACGACCAGCTTCTCTTTGGTGAGGTGGTCTCTATGAGCGGCTAGTAAGAACAGTAAAAACGTGTTTAAAGAAAACCTGGGAAAGAGCATTTACATCGTTCGAAGAACTACAAAACGATTTGTGTGATGCTAATATTGCCATCAACAATCGGCCGTTAGCCTACACAAGCCAAAATGATCTAGATCATCCTTTTGAGTCCTTTCCACTTAATGCAGCGTCGTGCGTATACCAAACGGGCCTCCACGAAGCACACGGAAGATGCAGTACCAGAATTCTTGTTAAAAGATTGTAAGCGTTGTCTTCTTCATCTGCGAAAGGTGTTAAAGGATTGTTTGACTCAATTTCAGTAAAAATATTTGAATGAATTACAGCAAATGAACAAGTACCGTAAACCCAAAGTTATGGTCTCAACGTTTTAGATGTTATAATAATAAAAGAAGATGAACCAGTTCCACGAGCACGGTGGAGGATGGGAAAAGTCTTCAATCTTGTCCATGCATTAATCAGAGGTGCAAAATTTGTCATGGTTTTTTCAAAGGACGGAAAACATCATCCACAGACCACTTCAAAAACTCATCAATTTCAAGATTGCTGAAACAAATACCTGTGAAGAAGAGAAACCTTTACACAAAGAAAGCGAGGACAATAATCCAAACAGCAGCTAATAGAAGGAAACAATATGCGGCGATTTAGGGACATATTTTTGTGAGCTTGCCGTAAGAACTCTCTAGTGAGGAGGATTTGGAAAATACTGTTATGTTACATTTATGACGTCACAAGTTTATGTGACGTAGCATGCACGGAGTTGGGATTAGGTTGAAACACTGCCAATAAAAAACGTCATTCGACTGTACCATAGTAATGGAGTAGCCAGCCTGCAAGTTTGCCAATGTTCAATTTTTTGATATTTACTCACTGTAAAAACAATAGATTTCTAAAGAAATGAATATGCTAATGATGAGAAATATGCAGAGCAACACCAAATTTTAGTAATTTGAAAGTAGTTTTTTTATTTTATTTAGATATGCATTGTATAGAAGAAAGGAACTTTTTTCACCTGCTAAAAATACTCACTGATGTTGTTGAAAAGAAACTTGCTGAGTTTTTTGTTCAAGAATGGAACTCACATCATGGACGGAAGTTGGGAGTTTGGGATAACACCACCACTAGTGGCCAGCGGTTACTGAACATCGAAAAGAAATCTAGACGACATAACATAACTATTCAATCCAATTTCAAACACGGAGACACAAGAAAATGGGATTGTACTACACTTTTTGCTGCCATACTTAATTCCTTTTCTATTGGAAAGCGTCTTCCATTGTCGATAAAATCGCCTATAAATGAGCTTCGTGTTGTCAGGAACGAACTTATACATGATAAAAAAGGAAGATTAACAAATGATGAATTTCGCAAAATGGTCAATAAAATCGAAAATTCGTTTGCAGTTTTAAAGTTTTCAATACATGAAATTCTTCAAATTAAAGCTCTGTGCCAAAAATTAAATTCATTTAAAATATTGCCTCCAAAACCCAATCACGATGTTGTTGAACGTAGTAAACTTCGAGATGAAATCATAGCAGACCTTGAGAAGTTGAAGAGAGATAATACTAACAAACTAACTTACTTTTATATTTCTGGTAATCCTGGAAGTGGAAAGTCGCAATTAGCAAGACAAGTATGCGAAAAACTGTTCGAGTCTGTAGACAGAGAAAAAGAAACGACATTTGTGATGACTTTTGATGGAAGAAATGTTGAATCCATTTTGGGGTGCTTTGTCGCGATTTATCGTCATTTCAACCATGATGAAAACGTCCTTGGCAGTATTTTGAAAAGCAACCGATCAAGTCAAGACAAAATAAAGATACTGCAATCATTTATAAAAGATAAGTTACAATTTTGGCAAAAATGGTGGCTGATTGTGGATAATGTGGTGCAACTTCATGAAATTTCACTGCTGCTGCCTCAGGTTCATGACCCTTGTTTCGAGAATGGTCAAGTTATCGTAACTCTCCAGAATACTGACTCAGTACCGACAAATGGAGAAGCGACTAAACATATTTCAATTAGTGAGGGTATGAATGAAGAAGAATGCCGTCAACTGCTTTCTTTAACCCATGCTGATGACGCAGATTCATTAATTAATGATGTGTTCAAAGCTGTAGACTATCAACCACTTTCGTTAGCAGCTGCTGCTGTTTATTTCAAAAAATTGAGAGAAACTGGCAGCGTCTTTACGTGGCAGGAATATCTAGAGAAACTTAAAAAGGGGAAACGAAATTTTGTCGACTCTCATCTCCGAAAATCGAGTTCAGCCTATCCTAATACAATGTTTGAAGCTGTTCTATTAGCAGTGGAGCAAAATGCTGCAAATTCAGCAATATTGGCAAAAGCGTTTATGCTTTTTTCCATTTTATCTTTTCATCCATTACCGCATGATTTTGTCATAAAATATATCCAGAAGATTGATCCACAGACTGATATTGAAGAAATCTGCCTTGATTTAAAGCACTGCTCGTTGTTTCTTATGTCGAACGACAATGATGTCCATTTACATCGCATAGTTCACGAAGTCATAGTTACATTTTACTCTCAAACTCAGCTGGAAGAGACAAACGGCGCGAAAAAGTCATCCACCGATGAAAAAGTTTGGCTTGTTGCAGAAACTCTTTATTTATTCAAGGGAAGAAATGATGTCATCAAAGTAATCCCTCATCTCGAAGTTTTACTGAAGTCTTTAAATGTGAGCATTATCGAGAAAGAGGTCAATACGAAGAACGAGATAGACGTTAGAATATTTGAAATATTCTTTTTTTTTGTTGGGACGCTAAACTTTTTTGGAAAGTACAAGCTTGCGCTCCAACTGGCAGAAGAAATAAGAAAAATGATAAATGGTTATTCACCAGTTGATATACTGGGCAGCTGTTATGGTATACTTGGAACGATTTATTATAACACGGGAGATTATGACAATGCCGAAGAATCTCTTCTCCTGGCTTTGGAATATAGAAATAACTCTCACAAACTTGATAGTTACAATGCTTGCAGACGCTATAACAATCTAGGCACAGTTTACATTGCAAAAGGTAATTATGAGAAGGCTAAAGATTGTTTTGACCAAGCTTTAAAAATTGTGGAAGGACCTCTTGTCTCTGATGATTCTGAACTTTGCATGACTTATAGCAAATTTGGCGCATATTATCATGGCATTGGTGATTATCAAACAGCAAACGACTTTTATAGAAAAGCTATGGAACTTCGAGAAAAATTATTTGGTGTTGATCATGTTTCTATGGTCGAGAGCTACTGTAGCGTTGGCTCCATTCATCTCATTTTCAGTAAATATGAACAAGCCAAATACTTCTATGAACGTGCGTTAGAAATTGACAAGAAGTTACTTGGGCCCGACCATCCAGATGTTGGCAAGACGTGTATTAACCTTGCAGACGTTCTCCACGCACTCGGAGAATATGAGAAAGCAATCGATCTTTATAATACATCTCTAGAAATTCAAACTAGTTCACTCGGTCCGGAGCACGACGATATTGGAAGGATTTATAATAATCTCGCGTCAGTGTACCATGATCTCGGAAACTTTGACGAAACTAAGAGTAATTGTGAAAAAGCTTTAGAAATCATGATGAAGTCTTTAGGTCCTGAACACGTTACTGTTGCAAAAATGTACAACAATTTGGCAGCACTGTATTATAAAATTGATGACTACAAAATAGCTAAAGATCTTTTAGAACAAGCTTTGCAAATTCAAAAGAAATCACTTGTTCCTGGCCATGTCGATTTTGGAGATACTTACAAAAATTTAGGAAATGTGTACAAAGCATTGTGCCAATATGATGAAGCGAAACATTGGTATGAGCAGGCTTTAACGATTCAAAAGAAATGCCTTGGTCCTCGCCATGCTGCAGTTAGCACAACCTGCAATAATTTAGGTTTAGTGTACAAGGAAATGGGCGAATATGGAAAAGCTGCGGATTGTTTTCAACAAATATTGGAAATTCAAAAGAATTTATCTGTTACAGACCAATTTCAAGTTAGCTCAACGTACATAAATCTTGCTCTTGTTTACCAAGCGGATGATGAACTTCACAAAGCTCTAGGCTGTTATAAAGAGGCTCTAAGAATTAAAATGAATTCACTTGGTTTTGACGACGTTGAAGTTGGAGAGATTTACAGCAGTATCGCCTTTGTTTTTTATAAGATTGGGAGATGTGACAAAGCATTAAAATGTTATAAAAAAGCTTTGGAAATTCAAATGAAATCATTTGGTCCAGACCATATTGATGTTGGCACAATTTACAGCAATATGGCTTCTGTTTTTGATGCTATGGGTGAACACAGCAAAGCTGTAATTCATTATCAAAAAGCTTTAGATATTCAGATAAAGTCTTTGGGTGAAAGTCATCCTGACGTTTGCCAGACGTACAGCTATCTGATGATTCAATTTGGTACTATTGGTGAACACAAAAAAGCTATGGAAATTATGGATAAGCTATGCCAATTCACTCCATTATAATTGTTTTGGCAAAGCGCTCATAATTGTTTTGGGAAAGGTTTAATAGTTGAAACGTCCCTCAAATCAATTGATAAATATGGCAAAACAGACGTACCTTTTAAATGCTGAACAAAGCTTAGATATTTCAACATATAATATAAGTTTTTTTATGTTTTGATTGTAGTTATTGTGCATAATGGACAGTTTGGTATACTGAAACTTTATTTGCTACTTTGACATTTTAAATAGATTTTTAAAGTAGAACTATGATCTTCATGTTTTCTTTAATTTGAGCAAATTTGACTGCGTGGTGTGACTGTGAAAAAAAAAATAGTTCGTGGTACTATTTATCATTTATGGAAGTTTAAACATGTCATTATTTATTGCCGTTTTGTTCCACGTCGTGTTTGAGAGCGTGACGTAATAGGGAAATCTGTTCATATCTACAAGCATATGTTTGAACAAGAAATAGGTGGTGAAAGCGTTTTCTCGTTGAATTTCAAAGAAATTTTGGTAGCTGGCGGTAGCAATTTTCCAAAGAAAGGAAGGGGGAGTAGTTATGGTGCAGGTATGGTCCCGGAAGTAAACGTAGCTCTTACCCGTGTCAATTACTTTCCAGTCCTAGGAAGTAAACAGGGTGCGCGTGTAAACCGGAAAAGAACTTAGCGGGGTGTTGAATGTAATAGGTTATCATAATAAAGGGAAATGAAACAAATGACAAATAAAATGGCGTTTTCAACGGTAGTGACGATAATGTATTGTTTTCTGTCAAATAAAAACATTTTTTCGAAACTTAACGTGACAAGAAACATTGTGACTTTGAAAGATCTATCTGTTCAAGCAGTTTTCCTGAACCTGTATCAAACATTAGTAAATAGAGGAGTTAAAATATCTTCGTAGACTCGAACGAAGTATAAATTGATAGTAACAAACGTTGAGGTGAAGAGACATACAGATATGGATAAAATCCTGGAAGTGTTTTTCCGTGCTACGCTAAAAGTTGGTTACAGCTATGACTACACTGCTAGCACTACACGTTAGAGGCTGATTGTTTTTTCCGATTGTTTTTCCCGTCCGAAGCAGATTTTCACTACAAGAAATGTAAAGCCGTAATTGCTTATTCGGGTAATGTCGGCGACCTGAATTAAATAAGGTCATACAAGATCATAGACAAATGCACTTGTTTGCAGGGCTAACATTTAAGTCTTAAATTGAATTTTATTTATCTTTTTTTGTTGCAATGATAAATTTACGTAGACATTTAAATTTTGAAAAGTACGGGAACATTGTTACACGTACCATAAATTTTTATTACTTTAATGATCATTTACCCTATGTTGCATCCTATGTTGTATTAAATAACCGGAAATAGTGATGTAATTAATTTAAAAGAAATAATAGCTAATTTATTAAAGCATCCAATAAAATGTCAGAAAGCACTCATTGTGTATTTCATTACACGATTCAATATATAGTCGAACTATCGTCTTAAAAATGTTATTTGCATTGCTCATTATTGCTTTGCTTTTGGACGTTTTGGAAAAAAACAAAAAATATGGCACCCATTTTTAATCAGATATATGCAGACACTGTTGAGTTTGAAGAAGTTAGTCACAGCGGTCTTATCAATTTGATTTTCGTCAATTTTAAAAGTAAAAAGAGTCAAGAACTACGAAGAGCTGAAAAGGATGAAAGTTAAGCAGAACCTTGGGTAGAGTATCAAAACTGTTTAGAAATGATGACTGAGGAGATCGTTGGTTCAATTTTGCAGATCGGGCAGTCGAAACAATTAATCGCGCGCATGTCTGGAATGGATAATGTGAAGCCTTTAAGTTTCTAAAGAACTGTGGATCTTCGAACTCTCATAAGACATATGTTGACAAACTGTTTAGTGCTACTTAGATAGAAATAATGTTAATGTACACGGAGACAAAACGTCCTCCTTTTTTTCAATATATCTTTGACTACGCTCATTGTAGTTGTAAACTGAAATGCAAATAAACTATGTAATTGCTTTGAGAAAAAAAAAGCAAGATGCATATACAATATATAAACCAATTCGAAGAAAGTTTGAAAGAAATCACGTTCTGGTGAGCGGTATTGACGTCCAGTGGCAGTTGGATTAAGCAGACTTACAATCTTTACAAAAGTATAACGAATGTTATCGGTATCTTCTTATCTGTATCAATGTTTTTTCAAAGTATGCTTGGGCTGTTCCATTGAAAAACAAATCAGGCCGTACATTAGTGAACGCTTTTTTGTAGATATTATCATCGGGACGTGAGCCGATTCACACTCAAACGGATCAAGGCTCGGAATTTTTCATTCGGGTCTTTAAGAAACTCCTGACAGAAATAAACATTACATTGTTCAAAATATTTAACGAGACAAAGGTATCGATTGTTGAACGTTTGATATGTACACTGAAAACGAAGGTGTGGCTTTACTTTACAGCAAATAAAATGATGAGATTCACTGACATGTTGCCAGATCTGATGTATTCTTGTAATCAAGGAAAACCGATTAACGTTACAAGTGAAAATGAAGATAGAATCTGGCAAAATCTATACGGGGTAGCAAACTAAATAAACATACACATGTAAAATATAAGTTTGATATTGGCAATCACGTACGAATAAGTAAAATAAAACAAAAGTTTGAGAAAGGGTATTTACCAAATTTTTCAAAGGAAATTTTCACTGTAATTCAAAAAATACCACGTAATCCTCCTGTATTCAGGCTGAAGGATTATGATGGGGAAGAACTTCAAGGAAAGTCTTATGAAAAAGAACTTACAAAAGTCATCAACAAAGATGATGTTTACGACATTGAAAAAATACTTAAGAAATGGGTCGGAGGGGGTGATGTACAATATCTTGTAAAGTAGTCAGGTTACCCAAAATAAACTTAAATCTTGGGTAATTGCTTCAGAAATACATGTATAAAACCTAACTGTGTGCTTGATCTCTTTCATTTTACAATTTGTATCAATGATGAGCGGAACACACTTTTATTTGAAATTACCTCGTATAAAATTACCTCACGTTGTGAATTTAAATGGTAATTGGGAAGTAGGATTGTATTCAATTACATATCCTCATACATGGTACACGTTGAAAAAAGGTTTGGATACACATGCATATGTAACTTACAAAACAGGTCTACCTACTCCGGTAATTGTCGGCTATGGTTTGTATGAAAAAAGCCTTCGACCTAGTAAATGCAGTTAAAGAGACTCTTGACAAAGAAGTAAAAGTCAACATCAAATTGAGCTTTGACCCCGGAACAAAATAAGTTAAAGTCCATGTAAAACAGGGTTGCAAAATATTATTTAAACAATAAATGTCGATCTTACTGGGCTTTGGAGGAAAAGAACTAGAAATTTCGAAAACAACAGAAAGTCCTTATGCAGCTGATTTGCTCGGATCCGTCATGATGTATGTATATTGCAGCATTGTACAGCCTCAAGTTGTTGGAGATGTCAATGTAAAATTAATAAAAGCAATTGCTATTCAAGGAAAATATGGAGGCATTGTTTCAAGAACATTCATTAATGTTCAATATTTACCCGAGCAAACAAAATCTTTTGAGGACATCAAAATTCTCTTAAGGGACGAGTTAGAAAATCCCATCTCATTTGAACGAGGGAAGTCGATAGTGACACTTCATTTCAGAAAACAAGCCTCATCTTATTTTACATAAATATGAGTCGAACAAACCGTTATGTTCAATATTATCTAAAACAGCAAAAAGTATACGGATCGCAACCTGTCTTTAGAGGAGCATCCTGGCAAAAAGATTATGGGCAGATGGGTTATGGTCTTGGTGGTTTATTTCGTAGATTGGCTAGAGCTGCAATACCTTCGGCAAAAACCGGCGCAAAAGTTCTAGATAAAATTGCCCTCGATACAGGTGCAAACGTTTTGGCGATGTTATCTCAGGGAAAAGTTTTGAAAAGGCTGCAAAATCTCGTGTTGACCGAGTAGCAAAAGAAACGGGGGGGAGCTGTAAACCGTATGCAACAGTTTGCTCAAACAGGAAGAGGAAAACCCCAGCAGAAACAGGAAAAAAAACAGCTAAAAAGAGAAAAGCATCGTCTTCTCATCTCATTTACCGTTCAGCCTAGAGACATAAAGCAGCTAAAATGCAGAAGATATTTTCGGTTAAATATGAAGTTCATTCATCCAAAATCAGCAGAATGTACAAAAAGTGAACTTGATATCTTTTTCGTACCCCCAACACAAACTAGTTTGGAAAAGGAACGATGGATAGACCATCCACCTGTCTTTAGTGTATCTGAAAGCGGTCCGATTACTTTTTTAGCGCCAGGTACAGAAGATTATGTTTACTTGTCTAACACAATATTGATGGTCAGAGCAAAAGTAACGAAAGCCGACGGTGGAAATCTCGACGATGGCGCTAAAGTTGGGCCGCCGAACAATTTCTTGCATAGTTTGCTTAAGCAAGTTGATGTGTTTTGAAAGGAAAGCTAGTAGCCCAAGCGACAGGAACTTATCCTTATCGTGCATATATCGATACACTTTGACTTATGGTTCATCAGCTAAACCATCTCAGCTAAAGGCTGCGTTGTTTTACAAGGACACGCCCAATCGGATGAACGTAGCAGACCCGAATATAGTGAGCTCCAACAACGGCTTGAAAACGCGAAGTATGTTTACAGCTGGAAGTGCAATTGTCGAAATAGTAGGCCTTATATTTTGTGATGTTTTCTTTGGTGAACGCCTCCTGCTTAGCTATGTTGATTTGAAAGTGGTAGTGAACCGTACCACTGACGAGTTTGCCCTAATGGCATCAGAGGACGATGCAGCCTTTAAAGGGAAACAGGTGGATGTTTATCTAAAAGTTCGCGAAGTTAGAGTGAATCCTAGTAGAGCTTTGTCTCACGAAGTTGCACAAGTCAACCCCTTTGGACCGGCGCGATTTTTATGACCACTAAAACATGCAGTAGAGTGACAAATCTTGAAACAATCCGAACACATATGTTTTTCATTTGAGATCTC